GTTCTCCGGAGTATAATTAACCTCTCTGAGCCGATGGCCTGCTTGGCAAGAGAAGCATTTAATCTCATCTTGCTAAGCTGTTCAAAGATTCAAGAGAGACAGTGCCACTGGCTGGCACATAGTAGGTGCCCAGGGAGTATCATGTGAAGTGTTTCTGTGATGAGGCCCAGAGATCCAGCCAGTGTTGCCCCTGAGTAACAGGGATTTTGCTCACATGTTGCACAGGAGTTTCCTTCTCTGTTGAAGGGGCAGGGAGCCAAGCCTTGTGGGAAAGGAGGTTGGAGGGGCTGTTACCTGGGAGTGCAGGCCAGGGGTTTGGGCTGAAGACAGAGGGGTGGACGCAGTGAGTCTGAGGGCTTGGCCAGACTTCATGATGAGGAGCCTTAAAAGAAAATAATTAGGGGCTGGGGATTTAGCTCAGCGGCATAAGCACCTGCCTTGCAAGCAAGCAGTCGTGAGTTCGATCCCTGGTACCGATAAAAAGGAAAAAGACAAAAAAAGAAAAAAAAAAGAAAAAGAAAAAGAAAATAATTATAAAGACTTTCACCGTGAAGACAGTGGAGGCCAGTGAAGGCTTTTAGGTGGAAAGAGCAGGCATGGAGTCACTTCTTCTCCTCCTCTTCCCCTTCCTCCTCCTCCTCCTCCTCCTCCTCCTCCTCCTTCTTTTTGGGAAGAAAATTACTGATTGGCCTGGAAAACAAATGGCAGAGGTGTCCTGGGGATCGACACCAGCAGGGATCTGGGATCTGGTCAGGTCGCAGGATGAGGAAGAGGGTGGAGGCGATCGCTGGGGATCAGGGCTTCCTAGGTGTGTGGCAGCATGGCCTGAGGTCTCAGTTCTCTGTGAGAGGAGGCACCTGGGATTCGGCAACCGCCACATTCCAGTAGGCATGAGGATCTAGACAGGCCCCCGCAGACGCACCAGGCGGCTTTAGTCACTTCTCTCGGGTGAGATTTGTTTAATGGAAGCTCGCAGCTTCTCAGCACTTACAGGTGCTGACGGGGCATCACAATATTGTGAAATGAAGCTGTGAAGCTGACTTCATTACCAGCTTACCTGGCGATGAAGCAGCGCCTTAGTTAGCACCGATGGTTGGGCATGACAGAGCTAAAATTGAACTTGGCAATTACCGCTCTTGAGAGGTTCTCGGTGCTGTGAAAGGGAGGTTCCATGGAAATCAACCCTGGTAATCACAGGGTGTAAAATTAGTCAGTTACTATTAAGGTTGCTCTGTCAGCGTGTGCCTCAGGGTGAGGCAGAGGAGGGGGCAGGAATTGGCTCTGGCTTGTCTTGGGTTACCTTGTATTCACCTGCTCTGAGAAAAGGGGAGAGAGAGAGAGAGAGAGAGAGAGAGAGAGAGAGAGAGAGAGAGAGAGAGAGAATATGAATATCAGGGCAAAGGTTTAAGGGGGAGGCCATTTGACTGATGGGTCATTTCAAGGTGTGTTCTTGGTATCTGAATGAAGTTTTGCAGCTTTGTTGTTTTCTCTAGACTCTGGGACTCTGAGTAGGGTGTCCTCAACAGCACTGTGCCTTTCCTGGGGACAGGGACACTCAGCTCTTTGTGGGCCCTCGTCATGGACCAGAGGAAGGAATGTGTCATGGGGTGGAAAGTTTAGGAAGCTTCACTGAGTTGTCTTAATGACCATAGAATATCCCCATTTTGCAGATAGAGAGTGAGAGGCTGGTGTGCTAGCATAGATGGTGCCAGAGGAAAAGTTTATACAAAAATTGGCTGTGAGTTGGCTTGGGGTGTGTGCACAGACCCTCATGAATGCAAGGACAGAAGCCCAGGTCAGTTCATTGCTTTGAGCCTCAGTTTCCTCATTTATAGAACAGGACTTGTACTGTGCAGGTGTGAGCATTAAATGAGGTTATTTAGCCTCCATAGAACCTCAGCATGGTGGCTATTGCTCTTAACAGTGATGTTTCTGAACCACTTAGTTTGTGCCAGCCAATGGGCCTTTGCATGGGTGACACTGCTTTGCACCATAAACCTGGGGAGGAGTATTCCCATCTAGGGAATTCATTAGGTAGCTTAGGCTCTGAGGAGATTAACTTTGTTCAAGCTGTCTGGACAGGTGAAGGTAGGACCAGCATTCAAAGCCTGACCCCTGTCCCCATCCCTCACTGTGGGGTTAGTTGAGCACTAAGAAAATCAGGCAGCCTGGATGAGCTAACTCTACAGCCAATAAGAGAAAAACATTAAAGCTTTTCCAGAATGCTGCAGCTCCTCCACAGGAAGCTGAGTCATCTCTCTTTGTTTTGAACCATAACCATCAAGCTACCTCATGATCTGAAAACTAAAACTCAAAAATGCTGAGGCCCATCAAGCTGGAGGGGCCCCTCCCTGGATGCACCCTAGAAACAGCTGAGCAGGGAGTCCGTGGAGATGGGCCCCTTCTAGCACATACTGGGTTCAGTGTACGGAGGGGAGCATCAAGTCTGGATTAAGCTCTGTGCCCGGAAGTCACCTTCTCCAGCTTTGTTTTCCAGCCTGCCAGGTGTGTGCACCTATCCCTGTCCTGCCTACTGATGCTTTAGGGTGACAAGTCACAGTCCAGGAGCTCTTTGCCTCCTACGTGAACGCAGTCCCAGGACGCTGTTCTCCCAGGTGGAGAACCAAGTCCAGAATCTTGTGTTCCTGTGCTAAGCTCCTACAGACGACTCGCCTCCTGCAGATCCATGGGGAGTTCCGTGTTGGGCCAAGAGTACAAGGTCTTCTATACTTGTTCCAAATCAGCCCGTTTTGCCTCTAAAAATGCCTCCTCCTCCTTTCTCCATCCAAGATCTCTGACACAAGATAGTTTGATTTAGGGTTTTCTGACTTAACAGTGGTGTGAAAGTGATGTGCATTCAGTAGAAAATGTACTTGGTGTAAACACACAGCCATTCTGATTTTCACTTTCAGTATGGTATTCAGTAAACTACGCACTTTCAACATTTTATTATCGAATAGGCTTTGTCCAAGGTGGTTTTGCCCAACTGTAGATGAGCGTAAGTGTTCTGAGCATGAGGTGGGTGCTATGACGTTGGTAAGGGAGGTGTCAGTTTTTTTTCTGGTACTGGAAATTGAACTCAGGACCTTGTGTTTGCCAGGCAGTCACTGTGCCCCTGAGTTAAATCTCTGGCCCAGGGAAGGTATCTTTTGACTCAAACTATTTTCAGTTTTAGATGAGTCTCTCTGGTTCCAACACCATTGTGAGTCAAGGTGCTGCTATAAACTTAACCACTGTTCCTCCTTCAAATCCTAGCTTGAGCAATGCTTTTCCATGTGGCCCTCACTCATCCAACCACTCTGAGGCCCCTGGTTATGAGCACTATCTCACTGATACCATAATTGCTTACCTCGGTGAACCAGGATGTCGCTGAGGCCAGAGACAGTGTCCTGTTCATCTATTGTTAATGACATCTGGAACTGTGACCTTCGTGGAGCAGGGAGAAGGCAGAGGGTACAGAAGATGCTTGTCGAGTGAATGAATGACTGACAGAATAAAAGACCATTGAAGGATATTTGCCATCATGCTTTCTCTGTGGCAATCAGTTACCTCTGTAACCTTTCAGAATTTCTGACTTCTGATTAGCAAGTATTCCATTCAGTAAGCATTGTGGGCTTCATTCCACATAAATAAATATCAGCCATTTTTTTATGGCTGTGTGGCATCCCTTTGTATAGAGAGCTCTGGTCTAGTTAACCAATCCTGTATCAATGGATTTTATTGTCATTTCCACATTCTTATAAATGTGGAGTTTTGTCATTTCCAAATTCTTATAAATGTGCAGCCTGGGAAGGATGAGAAGAAGCTGGTTGTTTGAGGGAAGGACATTGAGGCAGAGGGACCATCATGGAGAGTTAGATAGGTGCAGAAGCCACACTCCTCCTTACCTGCAGCCTTCTTTAATCACCCTGTCCGCCTGGCTTCCTTCTCCTGTGGACATCATGTGCATGTGCTATCCTCCAGCCCCTCTCTGCCATGTCCAAAAATGTAAAATTGATTTAACAGTACCCTGCACAGTATATGACACCCCCCCCATTCTACAGATGAAGAAACTGAGGCTTGGGAAAGTCAGCTGTTCCATGAGTCAGAGCTAGGATTTGAAACCAATTCACTCGTTCCAAAGCCTGCATTCCTCACCAAACCCTAATTTAGCCTCACTCATGTGACAACAAATGAGGGATTAACTGTGGAATCCACGGTGCCTGGGCCAGCACTGTCTCAAGCCCGATCTAACCTTGTAATGGGTGACCTTGACCCGTGGCTTGCTGGCTTCAGAAGAGTGGGAAAGAACCAGAGGAAGCTCTTATGTTTTAGTTTTAAATTACAAATGTAATACGTGCTTGTGCAAAAGGAAAAAAAAAAAGATGAAACAGCCACTGAAAATACCTCCATCTCCGGCTCCCTAGGGAAATGGCTTTTAAGAGCTCGGTACCTTTTAAAATGCATATGCAAACACGCGCAGTTATTGTTTTTATAAAAGCAGGACCATGTCCTTGACTGTCTCTCAGCCAGTTCCAAGCCAGCACCTACAGACCTTCCTCATCATGCCGCGTTCCATAGAAGGAAGGTATTTCAGCTTATTCAGCCAGACCCTGGCTTTAGACACTTAGCCTGCTTCCAGTGCTCCGTAACAAGTAACGTCCTTGTGCATGCATCCGTGCCGAGAGCAGGTATTTCTGCAGCATTAGAAGTCTAATTGCCACATGAAACTGCATGTGAGTCTCACTCATTGACAGGTGCTGCCAAATTGCCTTCCGAAGGTCCTTCCAAAGCAGCGCCCGCTCCTGAGCGGCGTGGGAGAGAGGATGACTCTGAAGCCACAAATGACGCAGAGCTGTGCTGTACATAGGGGCTGCCTTCCGTTCTGCTCCCTGAGACCTAGTGCGGGGACTGCCACCAGGAGCTCCCAACATGCAGGCCCAATTTGGGATAGAAGATGGATTTTGATAAAAGAGGTTAAATAACAGGTTTTTCCATTCCACCTTGTAGGAATGGGATGGGGGGCGGGGGTGCCGGGCCTCCAGCCAATAGAGGACCAAGAGTTGTCAGGAGGGCTTATAAAGCTTGCTATTTCTGGCATTTTTTCTCTTTCTCTGCTGATTATGCAGCAGAATCGCACAGAGGCTGTCGCGGGTGCGTTCTCTCCCTGCCTAGGCTTCTGTGGAATGAGAGTCAGGCTCCTTCTACTTGCGAGACGCTGGTGCATTGCAGGTGTGTTTCCGCAGAAGGTAAGTGGTGATAGCTGCCGCCTCCCAGGGTCAAGGTGGTCAGGCTGGCGCTGCAGGGTAAAGATAGATGATATCAGGTGGAGACAGGCAGAGATCTGGATTAGTGCCTGTTATGTTCTAGAAGGTAAATGCTTTGGAGGTTCAGGACTTGCCACTTCTTCCTGAAAAAGGATACTGGAGATGATTAGGATTGGCTCTATAGGAAAAGGTCAGCCTCGGGTCTTGGTGCCCAGAGCATTGTGAGTGTCCAGAGTGCCCAGGAAGCATTCATGCATTCATTCAGCATGTTTTACAAGGGGCCTGGCTAAGTGTGTGTGTGTTGTCTGCCTGAATCAGACTAGAAACAAGGAGATCTGTGATGGGGACAGTCCATGGACAGCTCCATGTAGGAGCCTGGAAGGCACCTGGCCTGAGAGGTGGGACAGGCCTTGCATGAGGGCAGGAGGCAGGAGGAGTGGCTGGGGACATCTCCAGGAGCCAAGTCTGGGCTGTCTCTTCCATTGGAATTTTGGAGACTGGGGATTTAAGAAACATTCCTCCTCCACTTTGATGAATGCCAACTTTTCCTTTTGTCAAGTAAGTATATGGGAAACTAACCAGAAGAAAGGACAGCAACAAGTGGGTCACAGCTTCAGGGCAGACCCACCCACATGATAAGCAGGAGGGAGACTGCATGCAAAGCCTGGCAGGAATGGCACTTGCTAGCTGTCCCTGGGGAGGCTGCTTGTGTGTGCCGGGAGCTGGCTGAGTTGGGGGTGGGGCTCCTTGATGTTGACAGCTCTGTATCCAGCGACCAGCAGGCCCAACCTCTTCTGGTTCTCTGCTTTATCACAGTCATTGTTGGAAATGTGGCTTCGTGTGTGTGCATCGAAGAAACAGAACCTGCCGGCTTCTCTCATTTGGAACATCCAGGGAAACAGAGAGTAAGGGAGGGTGGAGGGAAGAGAGAGAGGGAGAGACGGAGAGAGAGAGAGTGGGGTGGGGAAGCTTCTGTGCCTCCTGGAAAGAGTCCCTCTTAATCCCACTGGGTCTGAGAGCGAGCGGGAGGCAGCGGGCCCAGGGCTGCAGCCAGCCAGCTGGCCAGGAGGAAATGACTGTCAGGTGCTGCCTTTGCCACCAATACAGTCTGTGACATGAGCCAAGCGCCTTAAGCCTTCCAAGTCTCAGTGTCTTCATTCATAAAACAGGAACACTGATTCCTGCTTCCCCTGTGGCTATGGTTGCATGTAAGAGCACACGCAGGAACACAACTACCACACACGTGGCCTAGTGTTGACTGTAGGAGTGAACAAATGACCGAGGACATGGGCTCTGCTGGGAGGAAGTCTGGACACACACACAGGGTGTGTGTTTGTGTGTGCACCTGTGTGTGTGTGTGTGTGTGTATGTGTGTGTGTGACTGGGAGCCTTCCCTGTGCCTTGGGTTAGAGCCTTGGCTGAGTTCACTGAAGTTCTTACTGGTCATCTCGAAATGGACCAGCCTGCAGTTTAACACCTCCTAGTGACTTACTGAGATAGGCCGGCAGCCATGTGTTAGTGGGCTCTCAGTAGCCCAGTGTGTTCCAGCCACGCTCAGTAACGTGTGTGCCGAGAGCCTGGGCTGCAGAGGATGACCCAGGGAGGGAAGGACATTGCCAGGGGCAGGGGGCAGAGTGGCTGGAGAACTGCCATCCCACATAAGGTCCCTGCCTGGAGAATGAAAGCTGGGCCCCATTTAAGACCTGATCATGAGGTATTGCTCTTTCTTGGTGTCTGTGTGACCTTGGGAAGGTTACTTCACCTGTCTGATCCTATAAAATGACAGGTTGTTAGGAGGATTATCTGGGACTAGATATATAGTATAAAGCACATTGTTGGTGGTCAGTAACTACTATGCTCTCATGGGGAAGGGACCCCGGGAAGGCTATTTTTTTAGGTACTTGAGATGGACTCTGTTGCCTTGTACACACTATGCAAGTGCTGTACCACAGCCTTAGCTACATCTTCAGCTCAGTAAAAATTTCATTAGATACAGAGTCTCTATAAGATGCCCAGGCTGGCCTTGAATTTGTGACACTCCTGTCTCTGCTTCCCAAGTAGCTATGATTACAGCCACCATGCCTGACTTCTGAGAGCTTTTGATGAGGGCTCAGGGTATCTGGCATACATACGGCTGGCATGTACCAGGCACCCGCTAAATACTTACAGGAAGACAGAAAGTATCCAGCCACAGGGAACCCAAGATATAGGCTCCTCCTATAGGCCACTGTGTCATTGCTGGATAATCTCAGGCAAATTTTTTGCTCTTATTTGGCCACTGAGTCCCTCAGAAACAATTCAGGCTGGGCCTCTAACTCTTTTAATTTTGCTGTATTGGAAACCAAGGGTGTGGGAAGGGACCCAGAAGGGAGCGAATTCCATGCTCAAGATTAACATCCTTTCTGGGACTGGAGGTGTCCCTGATGGTGCGTCCTGCTCCCTTGTGCACTAAGCAAGCAGTAATTAATGAATGTAGGAGCGGAAGAGGGGTGCTGTCCCAAGGAGGCAGCTCAGGCTTAGCTGGGCAGCCTGCCAGTGTCACCATCTCTGTGTGGCTAAAGGCTTGGTGAACGTTTAGACATGTGGTCAGTCACTACTGAGGGCCTACAAAATCACAGACAGTAGGTTCACTAGCTTCTGCTAGGCTTTGGGAAGCCATTTTCCAGGGAGGCCTGCATTGAATGTCTTGTGGAGCTGAGCACTGGAGTAGGAATCCAGAGGTCTGGGTTTTCAGTTTCGTTGCCTGGATTTCTAGCTGTGTGCCTGTAAGCAGCTTGCTTATCTCTCTGCAAAGGACAGTAGGCCCTGGAAGGGACAAAGTTAGCATCTAAGGTAGTTTTGATTGGTAAAACCTTGTTCTGTTGGACTCACCCCTAGGAGACAGTGCCTCTAAATGGCCTCTCTTCACATACTCACTCTCTCTCTCTCTCTCTCTCTCTGTCTTTCTCTTTCTCTCTCTCTCTCTCTCTCTCTCTCTCTCTCTCTCTCTCTCTCTCTCTCTCTCCATGGGCCCTCCTGCACTCCACCCATTTTAGCAGTCATCACTGCTCACCCCTTGCTGGGCCACAGTTCTGGAGTCCTCTTGAGCCTTCTCCCAGCCTCCAGCCTCCACCCTTAACCCTTAGAATATGTTCTCAAGAAGCCATCCAGACGTCTGGGAGCTGTGTGATGTGCCTGTCCCAACCCTAGACCTTCAAAAGCCCTCTGTTGGATGCCCCTTACAAGCTACTGGGTCCACTGGAAACCTCCCTCCGGAAGGCTGGGCACTAGAATTTTCTCGTGTTTGCAGTCAGCAGGATTCTGCCTCCGCCTGAATCATGCTCCCTTTCTCTGACCACACTTTCATATCCCTCAGCTCTTTGTCTGCAAACTCCTTTGTCCAGAGTGTGTTTCGTGTACCCCTCAGACCCTTGCTTATTCACAGGCATAGTCCTGATGTTACGGGTCTTAGAGGCCTTCTCTGATTGCCCCCCTGTCCGTGTCCTGGTCCTGTCATCCATACTGTGATGCTCTGGAGGACATCGCCCCGTGGGTGATTCACCTTTATTCTCATGCCTGCTGCCAACCTGGAATACAGAGAATGTCTTCTTAGGAAACATTCGTGTAGGCAGTAGATACAAAGAACTTGCACATTAAGGCTTTGGGACCTAGACAGACTGGATTAGAATCCTCAGTTCATGGTTTCATTTGCTTGTAACCTTGGACAAGCTGGCTAATTTCTCTAAGTTGCAAGATCATGAGGATTAACAGGATGACACCCCTATGGATACCTTCTTCTGCTTGCTGGACAGTAAATGTTCTGGGTTTCCTTGGAACATTTACAAGGTCTCTTTCATTTGTTCCAAGCAGAGAAAACAGAGACCTAGGTCAGTAGCCCCAGTGCCCTGCACAGAGGAACTCTCCATACAACCCCAAACAGAAGCAAAAATAGCAGCTACATAGGGCAACCTGAGAGGCGGAAGCCACAGGCCAAGCGGATGTCAGCTGCCTCGAGGCCCCACTGAGGCTCCTCACAGGTACCGAACTAAGCAGCCCTCACGCCTGCCCTCGCTGGCTCCTCCAACCACAGCATCAGATAAGGCCGTGGAAAAAACGCTGGCTTCCTCTCTCCGGGGAGGGGTAATCGCGGTGCCATCTGAAGGGTATGCTCGATCCCCAGTTGCCTCCCTGGCCTCTCCTCACCCTCCCCTTGCCTGCTCTGCTGTCCCTGTTGTCTCCTTGCTGGCCAAAGTGGCATCAGCACATTCCCACATTGGCACCTTGGCACAGGCTGTTTGCTACGTGAGATGTGTCCCCCAGCACTGCCTGGCTCACTCTCTCACCTCCTTCTAGTCTTTGCCCAACAGTCATTTCTTCCCATGAAGCCCACTTTGACCACCTGTTTAAACTGGTATGTCCTCCTGATTCCCCTCACCTGCTGGACTCTTTCTTTCCTTAGTTCTGATAGCCTTTCAGCTACTGTCAAACTACTAATTTACTGTATGAGTATTGCTTATTTTCTCCAATGCAAGAGCATAAGCTCCAGAGATCTTTATTCACTGATCCTTCCCACGTACCCAGAATAGTACCTGGTATAAAGCAGGTGCTCAAGAAATGCTGTCACTGTGTGGACACATGAGTGCATGAATAAAAACCTGGCAATCAGAAAGGGATCAAGCTGCACAGGGGACACAGGTGCACACATTAAGGAGAGGGGTGTTCAGGGCTGCAGATCCAGGCATGGACTCACAGTGTCACCAGGATTCATCTCCCTTTGCCAGAAGCCCCTGGTGATCCTTGAGGTGAGTTATCTAGGCCAGAGAAATCAGTTGTGAGTGTAGTGCCTTGTAGGAGGGATGCTTGCAATAGTTGAGTTTGGCTTTAAACCATGCTTTTCTGGCCTGAAACCTGTTTCTTTCTCTTCCTAGCCATGTGGCTGTCACCTTGTCTCTCTGTGTTTGTTTCCTCACCTGTAAGGTGAACTAGCTTATTCTGACCACACC